ATTTGAAGATATATCGTCTCTGGCAAGGTATTCATTTTTTATTGGACAGAAGTGAAAGATGTTTCTTCTAACCAGTTTAACGCTTCTTTTCGTTGCATGATTAAATAGATGAAGATTTGTCGTTACTCTGTGTTGAATATAGATAGTGTAGAAAGGGTAAATTAACTTCATTTGACTATCGCTTGCCATGTGGCGCAGCAGGGTTAAGCATTAAAATTTAAATTACTATTTTGAAAGATGATTGTTTAATAAGATTATTACACAGTCCCACTTTTGATCTTCAGTATAGGATATGAAGCAACATAATAAATATGAAGATAAATCAGTACAAATATAGACATAAAGAGACTGTTGAATTTCTTGATTCGGGCCCTGTGCCAGATTGCGGTATAAAAATGTCAAACGTGACAAAGCTGTTTCTTCCTCACATGTTGCATTCAAATTTTAACTCTTCAAAGCACAGTTTTACTCAGCGATGTGATTCATTATATATCAGATCTGAAGTTGACCCAAATGTCATGAAGTTCCTGCATCACTGCTGCCAAACCGCTTGCAATTCTTAAGAGCAGGAAAATTTCCGTGAACCAAATTGATTGCTAAACAACCGTGGAGTGCCTCAAGGTTCATTCTTATCGGTCTCCTTATCTGACTGCGTGCCAACGACTACGTAGTGTCCTGACAGTTATATTCTGTTATGGTAACCGTGAACATTTGTCTGGAATCCCAATATGATTTGGAACAAGGCCATTGTAATCATTTGCTGTACTGCTAGAAGATAACGTTTAGTCTGTAGTGTGACTGCGGTCATTAACAATAAACCGCGAAATAACCGTTTAATTCTTGAACGTCCTCTGTTGTCAAAGTAATCGATATGTATGACGCCACCGTGAAGGGTACTAGTTACTCAGCAATCTTATTATATTAGCCTTAATGGGCATATCATGTCCAACCGTACGATCAAACACGAACTCTGAAACGTAAGTTTATGACCGAGTGGTAGCTGGCATTGACAGTTTTCTTTATCTTTCCAGGCGGTTTCTTCTGTCAACCGCTACCACAATTGAAAATGATTCATGAGCTGGAGCAAATGCAGAAAAAATCATTGATGGGTTTATTCGAATGATTTAGAACATAACAGTGCATAGTTCATTGATAGGGAACGGTAAAATGTGCAAAACGTTAAAACTCATCGTTTCGTCGTCCCCGTTGACGCAGCATGACATTTGTCATTTGCGCTGATACTTACTACGTTAATATTAATTGAGATAGAGATAATTCTCACCATGATACTCGTCATCCATAGTCACATTATCTTCGTCCCTATCTTTTTCATCTTCATTATCCTCCTCCTTATCCTCGACATCCTCCTCGTCGTCATCCTCGTCCTCGTTTTAATACTGGTACGTTGTCTGCCATGGAATCGAAGAAATGCGAATTTGTTATTTCATAAACGACTTATTTTATATAGACGTTAACAGCTAGTTTAGGTGTACTAAAAAGAAATATTTTCAATATTATAACGTTTTATTTTAGGCAATAACCATGATGAATTTGCGGTCCGACGCTTTAAAAGTGTTTTCTTTAGATTGACACTATTATTCTACCGCCAGGGAGAAGGCTTGATCAGTGATCTGAGGCCTCAAATGGTCCGTTCGCTGGTAGCCATGTCGCTGGAAGTTTTCTGTTTATGCGTGCAGCTGGTGTATCGCCACTACAAAGACAAACTTTACGAGTTTATGGTTTTGCTGGGTTAGCTGATTTACTACTTATGGTTTTCATGTTCATATTGTAAAATCGAATTTTGTGTTGAAGAGTGGCTAAAGCTATATTACAGAATTTCATGTCAAGATGAAGTACAGATCAAATTGTTCTGTGGGTCACTGTCCTGACACTGAACAACGTGATAAGCGTCGAAACCCTTAGCTAACACCATTAATGTGGTAATTTAGGACAATAAATTCTGCAGGCTGAATTTGTGCCTGTCCCGTAAAAGCATAATTCGTCAATGTCATAATCGAGCAGTGGTAATGTATCTGGAGGGAGTACCTCTTTTTTTAGTGCTTTTGCAGGTCAGCTTCTTTCGGAAATGAGTACTTTGATCATGAATCTGAGTCACGGAGAGAGATGATTAGTTAACGACGAGCATGGACGGAAAAGCTGTGGACTGTAAGAACTATGGTACACTGGGCAGAGTGGATTAGCTTTGTTTAACATCTTGAGGATGTCTCATTATGTGGATTGACGATCTATGACCTTAGTATGATAAGATCCATTTTCTCACTGTGGGTCAGTTGCTTCAACATTCGAGATGTCATACAAATTTTATGAATACTGATCTGTCATACATGTTTCATCATTTACTTTGCATAAGCTGCTAAATATATCTGTATACCTTATTATCTTTCAGCTCCGGTATTGCAGATTGATCAAATGAAAACTGACGTCAGCGAATTTTCGTTTCTATATTTCCGTATCTGGATGGTAAGTTCTGACTGTTCATGTGTAGCACGTTCGAGCATTGATTGTAAAATGGTGTTGGTCAGATTTGCATGAACGAAATTAGGATTACATCTTGCTAGTTGTTACAGCGGATATTCACTTGATAGATTGATTAAGGCGAAATGCAGCCACAAGGAGACCTACCATTCCGGAAACTTTGTTCTGGCATGACCAAGTCAGCATAACATGCTATCCTTATTATTCAAGTCAACGATTAACGACTCGTTTCTCTGCTCTTTGCGCTGAAACAACATGGTAAAATTTCTTGTTCAAGCGGATTCGCGGTTAAAACAAAATTGCTCCTTCAGCGAATCTGAAGTTGTCACCGAGTTTATAACCAAGTTTAAGACAGATTTTGCTACTCTGCCACCATCCTCAGATGTCGTAATTTATCACACAGGATGGCGTTTTTGATGTCAGACCTAAGAGTTCTGTTCATTTAACTACAATCAATCATTCAATCTTAGCTTGTAATGCGGTAGATAATATTACCGAATCTCTCAGATGATTGATTTAATTAAAACAACAGCAGCAAAGAATAACGAGAAAGTAGAAAAACATTAATGGTCAGCATGAATGTTTTTTGCATAAGTTGTTCACGCTGATCTTTGGCGTTGCATAACGTACGAGCGATGATCGCAAACACTGATCGTATGTACCTTTCAATTTCTGAATGGTATGCACGAACTTGTTTCTGGCGGCCTCATATTTTGAACCGTAATCTGCCTGCGAGTTACAAGGGTGCTTATCATGATTTATTAGCTAAAACGGACTGTTTTTTCACTACCTGGTTTACGATCTTGGCAACTGTGAATTTGGAATTTATACTGCTGATATTTCTGCCAATTTTAATCGATCAACACAATGTGCGAAGTCAGCTTTATGGACACCAGCGAGAATAGTTACCTTTTAATCAAAACCATGGGTTTGGACAAGGTGCAGGGTTCCATTAACTTCTTCCTAAAATCAGAATAATAAATTGCTTTTAAACATATTTATTCAGTTGGTATTTGCATATTTTTTAGAAGCTGATTTTGCGGATGTTATCTGATCTTGGGGACAGGGTTGATCACGATAGCAAAGGCAACCTTGGCAAAGAGGTATCAGTTATGTTCGATATCGCAAATACGTTTCTTCGTTTTATTCCCAACTCAGACCCGCAAATACCACTTTGTTACTCCGTCGTGCTGAGGGTGTGCGAGGAACAGAGCATAGGTAAGCGGATATCGTCAAATGTTTGCACGTATTTTGATCGACTGGTCTTTTTTTAGAGAACGCTCTGCACGCGAAGTACCTTTGGGAACTGCTGTTTTCGACCCAGTACATCGTCGAATGTTTTCCGGTCACTTTGTTATCCATCGCTGAAGGTCTACATTATTGCTTGGGAGACATCGTGGATGTAAGTGAAAAACACAATTCTTCTAAATATCATTGAACAAGGCGCTTTTTTCCTTCAAATTTTATTATAGGAAGCTGATCTACCAGCACCGAAACGTATGTTCGCCTCGATCTGCAGTTCCACCGCTCCGATGATTCTCAAGTTGTTTTTGAGCCATCTCGACAAGGTGATGGACGACATGAAATGCGCAACGTCTGATCTACGTTACCTGTTGGTTTACAATGACCGTACCGTCAAACCTTCCCGTATACTGTTTTATGAATTCAAATTTTATTGATCGTAATTTTGTAAATTACTTCATTTTTTTCTGTTTTTTACTTTTTACTCTATCACCTTTTATAAGCAACTTTTTAAACGCATATCAATATATGGAGTAGAGTACATATCTGATTACATGAATAGCAGCAGCGGAAAAAGAACAGTTCGTTATCTAGCGTCGATTCGGTGTTTCGACCTAACTGACGTCGTCCTTCATCACGGAAAAAGTCAAATTCATAGTAAAATGTACTGGTCTTTTGTTGACCTCTATTAGTGGAATATTTGATTTGTTGTCAATGGAACATCTGTTATATTTTTATCATCGCCATGTAAGGCTAACGGTTTTAACTGCGGAGTGTCTCATTCATGATGTTTTACGTTTAAAAATGATACTTCAGATTGATCTTACACTCAGTTTACGTTCATTTCTGCGGAATGCGACAATTAAATGCGCTTCATACGCGCAATATGAAGGGGCTGATATATACGTTTATTTCTTTTATTTCGGTTAGCTACGATGTGAAGAAACTCATCACTTTATAGCCTCTTTTTGCCACGACCATCGTGACATACTTTAATAAGCTGTTTGTACATATGTTGGAATACTATACTGTTCATCCCGTGATAAATATGAGGGGAAGGATTCGTCATAGTTATTCGTCTATGCGGTCGAATCCTTTCCCTACTTCCGTGTACACATCGCAGGTTGTCAAATTATTGCCAGAAGATCATGAAAACAAAAAGAGAATTGGCGCAGTCCCAGAACACCCGGCAAGTACAGGTACATTGAAAGCTATTTGATCCGGTCTCTCGCTGTGAACCCTCTTTTGGCACCAAATCCTCCATCTTTTACGTCATTACGACCTCTCAACGGCGGAACGCGTCTGCTTGTTGAACAAAATTTTTGGACCCTGAACATTCATCCCTGTCAATTTTTGTCGAACTTCCTGCCGCTGTTCGCGAGTATTTTTAATGACTAGGCCTACCGACCCACATTCCAGGAACCCTGCAGCAGTGTCAGTATTCCATTAATTCCAAGAATTGCGCAAATCACTTGAATCACGTGGCGAAATGATAAAGCCGGTTATACTTTTTCCATAACCTGAGATAAGGAACGAAGTCCACTACGGGCGTAAGTTGCCTCGAGTAAAATCAGTCCGCATCGTATCGATGCCGAAGATGGCTAGTAATGCAGTTGGACGAAGTCTTGCAGGCTAAAGCATTGTCATAGATGTCCTCGATAGCTGACATGCCAAGTAGCACGGTAGTGTGCAAACGGCTGTACTGAACCGTATAGCTGTTTTTTCTTCTTTCCTGCTCAAAGGAAACAGAGTAGGCTGGGGCATCGAACAAATTAATGTAATCGCGACCGCCAGTTTGTTAGTGCAGCGGTCCTAACGTCGATCTCGCGCTTAAATGTCTATACCAATTCGTTCGAGACCTGATCGCTGTTAAATAATTAATTGTTTGTTGTTTCGTGTTTCTGTCCATGGAATGAAAGGGTGTTTTAGTGTTGAAAGATTATTGCTTGAACGGAGTCACAAAGGAACTCCATTTTTCAGCATGTACAAAATTGCAGGATTATTGCAGTTAATGGTTTCACGCACCGAGCATAGGAATATAATGACTGTGTATTATTTGGTGTCGAATGTCGCGTAGGATTCCCATTTCTGAGGTTCTGGTGAAGTCTGGAGGGAAAGCAACTTATCGGTCTTACCGAGTATTCTCAGAGCTTCGCGAGAATATAGCAATCTGTCAATCATAATCTGATACTCACACGTTTCACTACATAGAAAAGCACAATAAACTAGCCCAAATGCAATAAAGGAAGGGTACAAGTGTGTACAAGAAAGTACTTTTAACTGAACTGCCAGATCAGGGTGTCCGAAATGCAAAGCATACGAGGGCGATTACCAGTAAACACAAAAAGCACGGAGAACTGACTATTCTATCTACTCACTAAAAGATAAAATGTACCTTCACTCGATTTAGGGGACGTTTTATACTTATTTTGATTTTATAGTTTTGATAAGTGAATCCTAGTTCTCATGTGATTAATAGATTAGACTTTATGCAGTTCTTATTCAAAGGTTTATATGTGCGTATTGTAAGTTTTATTGACAGTTATTCTACAATTGCCGTTTCGCATCGAACAGTCACATCTTTAAAGTAAAAGGTTGAATAAAATAAAGCCAAAAAATTTTGTAGAAGATACCTCAAATTGCAACTCATCCTCCAATGTTTGCTGTCGCATGGAATCATCTGTATGCGACCTCCTGGCACTCCTTGTGAATATCTTCCACGAACTCGTTCAGTCTCGGATCCCGCGAATTTTATTGGACCCTTCGCTTCGTCTACTATGCCGTTTTTACGGTGAAATGACTTCATTCGTCAAAACTGTTGAGTTTATTGATCTAAAATCGACGAATATTGCTTTCATAGTT